TACTATTACTACTACTACTACTACTACTACTACTACTACTACTACTACTACTACTACTACTACTACTACTACTCCTGCTACTACTACTACTACTACTACTACTACTACCGCCGCAAAAACGAAAGCAATGACGACGACTACGACGGAGGGGACGACGATGTCGCCTTGACGACGACGCGGACGACGGCGACTGCTACTGTGTATAGCGCAGCATAACATTGCATAACAACAACAGCCACACTTATAAGAGTTATAACAACGATATGACTTGTCAAGACCTATGACTAATGTTCTTGTAATGTGCTTAACCGCACATGTTGCTTGATTACGCCTTCGCTACGGCTGGTGCCACGGTTGCTTTTTGCCAAATGGTTTGCTGTTCCAGGTGTTGTCGGACTATTGTATTCCCCGGACTTCATGCCAGTTTATACGTTCCAAGAAAACCGGGTTAGCTAGAACAAGCGTTCTGGTGTTGCGGAACCGGGGGGGGGGGGGGGGGGNNGGGTGGCGGCGGTCTTCTCACAACCAGCTGGACTACAGCTTTGTTGGAAATGCTGATTGTTCGTGGGTTCAAGACTTTGAGTCGCCACGCTCGCCCTTAATTCGGTGCAGCATGCGTGTTCCCTGGGACGAACGCCCAGGCTTTGCTGCCAAGCAACAAATCCTTCATGCTGACCCCCAGATCGAAACCTGTGATAGCAGCGGCTCAGACTTGCCACGTAGAACCACACACCGCTGCTCTTCTACCTTTGAATAGACTCCTTTCACAAACAGATAGCTGCACAGTTGAAGCAACTGCACGGAGTACTGTTGCAATACATCCTGCCGGCACCTTCTGGCAAACAAAGATAACAAGCAGTATGCAGTTTCTGTACATCGCTGCCACCGTATGTGCTTAGCCCGCAAGTAGACCGGATCTGGCAAACCAAAGCAACATCCGCACTCAAACACCACCCCAAAGCCGAAACCCCGGGTCCTGAACCCTAGTCCCAGAAATTCCTGTGCAGGCGAAGGAAGTCCCGAAAGCTGCGCCGGCGGCCTCTTTGCTGGACTTCAGAATATGACATCTGAGTCATGGGGTTCAGAGTTTGAGGTTAATCAGGGTTGAGGGTTCAGGGTTTAGGGCTTAGGGTTTAAGTATTGTTTCGTTTGGGGTCTTGCTTGCTTCGAATCATAGGGTCTTCCCTGGATATCGTCGGCATTGTCGGCTTGTGTACCTCTTGAGACTTAGGTCTGCGAGATCCTGTGATGTCTGATGTGACACGTTAGAGTGCTGAGTCTGTACGCCAGCTTAAGTCCTGATGTAAAAATCTGCAGGCTGGGAGGAGATTTAAAATCCCATATTTAGGATTTTCAAGTATTATAATATCATATAGCCTAATATTCAAATGCTAGATCAATTATCATGCAAGACCAGGGAACAGCCCGCAAGCCTGGCTGGGGTTCGGGTTCCCGGGTTCCTCGATAGCACTATACTGATTTATACTTTCCTGTAGACTCCAGGAATAACCAAGGCTGACTACGAGCCTCACCTAGATAGTGTACTCTGTACATAACCCCTATCATCGTTTATCTTGGCCAGCACCCTAAACCCGAAACCCTAAACCCTAAACCCGAAACCCCTAAACCCTAAACCCTAAACCCTGAGCATCTACCCTCGAACCTGTGAGGCCAAAGAAACTTCGAAGACGGTCGTGAAAGAAGAGGAGAAGCCCAAGGCGGAGGGTTTAGGGGTTAGGGCTTAGGGTTTAGGGTCTATAGGGTTTAGGCTTTAGGTTTTAGGGTTTAGGGTTTAGTGAAAGAAGAGGAGAAGCCCAAGGCGGAAGTTCTCGAAACTTTGGTCTGGGTTTCCTGGGCTTCAGGTTTGTGGTTCAGGCCGGGGTTAAGGTTTCAGGTTAAGGGGCCCTAAACCCTAAACCCTAAATCCTGAGCCCTAAAACCTAAAACCTAAAACCTAAACCCTAAACCCGAAACCCGAAACCCTAAACCCTAAACCCGTCTAGGGTTTCGGGTAGTTCGGGGCCCGGGGCTCGGAAATCAGGGTGTTTCTTCTTCTGGGGTTTTAGGCTCATGGTTCTTGGTTCAGGCCTACGGTTTAGGGTTTAGGGGCATACTGTAGGGTTTAGGGTTTAGGGTTTAGGGTTTAGGGTTTAGGGTTTAGGGGCATAGAGTATACCCTGAATCCTAAAAGACCCTGCACCCTGAGCGCGGGACCCTGAACCGTATCGCATCACCACACCCTTAAACAACAAAGTGATTAGATTACGATGCCTGTTACCTGGCATAACTTTTGTTTTGCCACTACGATATACCCCAACATCTGTCCCCAATGTGTACGCATAGAACAGCCGAAGGCGCAAGAACCGCCGAAGGCAACAGAAGAGCAGAAGGTGAAGGAGCCAGTCAAGGCGTGGGGACCTAGACGGCGCAGTTTAGCTTGAAGGCCCAACTTCATCCACCATCTGATATGGGCCGTTCTGTATCGTTGAAGTCTGTGGTGTAGAATCTAATCTGGGAGCTGCCTCGGCTGAATCAACGCGTCTTTGGAGCGTCGAAACCAGAGTTCTTTCGGGGGTGTAGAGTGTAGAGGGCGATGCTGCAATCCTGCATGTGGTAGGTTTATCTCCGGGGTTGTGGTGAGTGTACATGGACTCCTCAGGAAAGTTGGTGAGCGTTTGTTTCGGGTTTATCCCAGGAGAACCCGCTAGAAGAAGCCTACCTCACTTGAAGAATCCTGACCAAGCCATGTGCACAGGCAGACGATGAGAAGAAGGCGCCACTCGTCTGCTTAGTAGCTAGTGACCCTAAACCCTAAACCCTAAACCCTAAACCCTAAACCAGGTTGCAGCTAGTAGTTAAGACGACCTATGAAAGCTTGGGAAAATCTGCATCCCTGCCATAATTAGAAAGGTGACCTGTTTTGTTGGCCCGGGAACTTAGGATGCCGAATTTGGAAGCTCCGCCTGGTTTCGCAGAAGAAGGCATTTCAGATTCTGGTTTTACCACATGAGGGTGCAAGGATGAATCTAGATGTCTGATGAATTGGTAAGAATACTGCGCCGGTCCGAAAGTT